TTTCCTTTTGTAAACACACTTATTTTTACACCAGTGTTGTACTTGCAGTTGCCTACAGTCAGAAACAGTTACTACCATAAACATAATTCTCTTGCCTTTGGTTTTTACATGGTCATCCCTTCTCACTATGCTTCACCGGTGAGATGAAAAGAGATGATGGAAAGTCAGCAGAGAAGTTACAATGCAGGCTTTTGGGCTAGCAACATACAGTCACAGATAGCCATTAAAGGGGCAAAAATGCTTCAAAGAGCTTTCTCTGGGGGTTGGTTTATCTTCCTTCCTTTTTAATATCCTCAGAGCATGTTTCTAAAGAGTCACATAGCACCCACGGGTCTCAGGAAACATCCCGCCAGTTTTAATGGATACCTACTTTGATGCCCTTCGACAGTTCAGCGTGATTTCTCTCCACTTTCTTGTGCTTGGAGAACAAAGGATCCTTGTGGTTGCTCTTGTTCCTGGCAGTGTTATCCACGGCAGGCAGCTCGCCGCTCTCACTTCGGGGTCTCTTTTGGGCCACCTTGGTTGACTTTGGCGCAGGATGAGCAGGAGACATGGGTGGCAGTGGCGGGGGTAGCAGGAGATCTTTCTTCTGGGATTCCAATGAAGCTTTTGATGCTCTGAAGGTGGGAAGCAAATTCAGCAATTGGGATGAATACGCTGTACATATAATGTAGGGATTTTTTAAAAACTTAGTTACATCATGTGCCAATTCTATTTAAACTTCTCTGGAAGCGTGAGATGATTTGTTAACATAAAGAATCCAACAAAAGCAAAATGAAACTTCAGGGACTTCATTGTGCATTAGATACCACATCTTCAGCTACCAACAACATACAAGTTGCTTTTCAAGTAGGAATAAGCCACAGGATTTGTCCTTGGATTGAAGACTTGCAACCAGAATATCAGGATGCTGCAAAAAAGGCATCCCTCCAACACAGCCCCTTTTCACTGAAAGAGGTAATTACAGCGACTAAAATCCCTGGGACAAATTGCCCAACAAGGCAAATGAACTGCAGCACTGCCTCTCTCTCCCCATTATGGTAGAAGATATCTTCTGTGGTCAGAGATACTAACCCTGACACTTGATCCTGTACGTGCTTTGACAGAATTAAACTGAGTTGTTCCTCTAAGACTTGCCAGCTCAACTAGACAACACTTACAAAGTTGAGAGGATTCAAGTGAGAGAGACATTCAATAATACGGTGGCATATCAGATTTCTGATCATCTGAAGTTAGGTTTACCAGGGAACTCTGGCAGCTCTAAGCAGCACTAAATAGCTCTAAACCTTGTTTTGCTGCTGCTCATTTACATCATTTTTATTCAGCCTCTCAAAGTTTCCAAGAAAACACTGAGCAATGAATCCCAACTCATGGACTGCAACATCAGAAGAGGAGGAAATTAAGTTAAACCCAGTGAGAAGACTGAAGCGTGACACTGCACATTTTGCTTCGTTCTGCTGTGCATGCGACAGTCCTCTCCCCCCTTCCACAACCCACTTTTCCTGTGGTACAGGCCCTACTCACTGCACACATGCTCCCCAGCTTCACTACCTTGGTACAGCTGACACTCCAGAAAGAAGTATTTTACACAGAGCACAGCAGCATCCCCTGACCTGATCCAGAGCCCTCTTTCCCCAAAAATGCATCCTATCCTTCCCACTCTGAAAGCCAGAACATGGCTACAAGGGGTGCTCGTTTTCACTGAGAAAAAGGAAGGAATGAACCCCAGAATTAAAGCCCTTCTATTATTACCACAGCTGCAATATCCCTTCACCCGACTAAACGTTAGCCCCAACATCTCAGTGGTTTAAGAGTACATCAGTGCTTTCTCTGCAGAAAAGCAGTTTACTCATATTGTCAGGACACAAACCTCAATGCTACATACTAATTCAAGCCAATACCTCAAATTCAAGCCATAAGCAAGCAGGAATTGAATGCAGTAGTCCATGACTGACACGTGAGCCTCCCCTCTTGGGAACACTGCCCATTTGAAGACATGCTCTTGGAAGCATTTGCTCGAGCAAAGACCTAGCCAAAATGCTGGCAGTATACCGGTATGCAAATTATGGGGTAAGTTTCAGCAGATCTACCAGAAGCACTGCAAATGCTATGCTGGAATAAATGAGAAAGTCCTGGCCATAAAGGCCACCTGAAATTCCAAACAGAGTTATGATTCAAAAGGCATGCTGGTTGTGTGTCCGTTAGGTCACATACAAAAAACCGAAGACAACAAGATGATTTTAGTGGAGAAGGGGAATGCTCCCTACTCCTACCCACCTATACATACAAACCTTTTTTCTGGACTGGGCTTTGCACATTTCATCCCTATACAAATTTGGCCCGGTCACAGTGAAAAGCCTATTGGCACTGTGGCATCTTGGTTTGGTTTGAGAAAGGGGGAGCTGCATATCCATATGCTTCTGGAGCATCCCAGTTCAGCAACCTTGCATGGCAGCAAGGTGAGAAAACAGAGCTCTGCAATATGCATCACATCCACCTCTGTTCTCAGCTGGGAGAAGACAGGTCCCACCTAGCACGGACACCATGTGCACCAGCAGCCAGCTGGTAAGTGCTATTCAAAGCCTGTAATGGGTGACAGCAGAAGCAGCTGAGGGAGCAGACAGTATCAGCATTAAAATCTGACTCTCTTCTTTCAGCAGGACCTGTCCAATTACGAAAGCAGCAATGATCACCAAGTCAAAATTTACGGACATACAGTTACACTTAGTACAATATCCTTTCCCAAGAGGCTGCCAGAACTCTTTCTGCTGTGGACATGATTGCTCAGTCACAGGAATGAGAGTCACAACTTCCAGGCCACACTTTCAGCTATTTCACCTGTTTGCAGCGGGAGTCTGAGCAATTTGTCTGCACCTCAGTTTCTCCACGTGCAAAATGTGTTCACATCATCTTCTCACCTTACAAAGACTAAGAGCTTTAAACACATGCGAAGTATCATGAATCTGATAAAAAGCTTTCTGCTGCTTCCCATGCAGTGAGAGCACAAACTTTCCCAAAATAAGTGTGACCACAGAACCCAGAATGAGGAAGACATAGGCAAAAAAAAAAGTAGTTCATAGAATCATAGAATGGTTTGGGTTGGAAGGGGCCTTTAAAGGTCATCTAGTCCAACCCCCCGTGCAATGAGCAGGGCATCTTCAACTAGATGGCAAGTTCTCTTGCCATCCCCTGAAACCCCTAAACTATTGTGCAGAACAAGCATACGCCACTGCCCACAAACAGCTGCCACCTCCCAGATCCTCCAGGGAAATCATCTGCTGACAGATTACCACCACGGTAGTTTGGAGAAGGGGAAACGACTCCTGCATCCCAGCAGGCAGGCAGCCTACCGCACTGTTTGCAACTCAAACAACATATAATTTTTTTGCACAAATTCGTTTCCTGCATCTGTTCTGAAAGACAGCAGTGCACATGGTTGCCTACCAGTGTAGAAGGAAAAGTAGCATGGGCACAACTGGCAATTACATTTCTTGCAGCATAAACAGATTTTTTGAGCTACATGTAATTTTTGAGCTACATGGATCAGAGCATGCAGCAACGTAAGCTGCAAGATGGACAAATTCATGTTTAAAACGGTGAAGTCTTCATTCCCATCTCAACTGTTAGAAATCAGGACAGATGCCACAACATTCAACACTTTTGTAGCAGTGTAACCAAGTATAGGAGGACAACCAGCCACTGAAACATCAGCTTATGCTTGAATGATTAGAACCATAATCCTCAGCATTAAGAAAGAAGAGAAAGATAGGTGACACCCAAGCATCACTTCACATCTGCAACAAATAAAAAGGCAAATAAATTACATTCCCATAGCTATGTGGTTGGTTCCAGGATGTAAAGACAAATCTGCAGCAGATTAAGTTTCAGAAGACACATTATGTTATACGCAAACTCATGCATATAAGGACGGGAGGATACAATTCCTCGCCTTAACTGTTTTAAGAAAGACTCAGTTTTATGCATCTTTCTGCCATCCCACCACTGTATACTCACTTCAATTTATTGGAGTCTTTGTTAGCTGAAGACTGCAATGATTTCGTTTCTTTTTCTGATTTCATTTTCTTCCTATCAATCTCCTTCTCCACTTCCCTCTAACAGGAAGAAAACAAAAAAAAAAAAAAAAGAAAAAAAAAATCACTCAGGTTTTGAAAGTTCATGTAAAGTACACACCAACACAGCTAAGTTTGATCGATTCTGGTTAAAACAAGAAAAGATAAGATATTGGAACCGACAAAGTGGAAACCCAGAGCACAGCGGATGTAGATTTCAGGCTCACTGACAAGTATCCTAAAATGACATTTTATCTACTTTTGCTTGGATAGATTAATTATTTTGTAGTGGTGGGGATGGAACTGCTAAACCTCTTGTTGCTAATAATAAACAAAATTAAGGTACTTCTATTGCTGAAAATAAGCATTTCATCTGTTCTGGATGGGCTTTTTTCTCCTACTCAGTATAAATCGTACAGAAACGTATTCAGATTCCTTCGGGCAAAGTCATGAACTGCAAGCAATTGTGTTTTGTGATACGCCTTATCAAAGGGGAGGAAAAAACTGCATTCACAGGAGAGTTAGATTACTCAGATTTCTCCGATGTGCAGGGGTTTTTGGTTTTATTAACAAGAACCTGATATAGGTGAAATTTTAAAGTCAGTTAAAATCACTGCCATTGTCCTCCAGAAGAACAGGAACCATTAAGGCAAAGAGGTAATAAGTAATACTTTTTAATTGCGCTCCATAGATCTTACAATACAAAGCCTACAATAATCAGCTCACCTGAATGAAAAACTTCAGAATAATTTGCTACAAGCCAAGAAAATGTAAAAGAAACTGCACTTATCAGTCAGCATTACCCACAGCGTGCCTGGTGGTAGCCAAAAGCATTCCAGAACTTTCTGTCTCTCTCCTAAGAGTACATCCAGGTTTATGTCACTGTGATGGAGCTCAGTGGGTCGTGCTCGGCACGGAGTCTACCTCTTGCAGTGTGTTCAGGGCAAGGGTCCAGCACCTAGATCATGTCCTTAAACTGTTTCTCAGGTTGAGCTCCACACTGCCGCAAAAGATGTCTGGCAGCTCTACCTGACCTAGCTGACTGCGACGAAGCCTGAGCCTCTAAGGTCACTGATGCACACTGACATAATAGAGATGGCAAAGCTCTGAGGTGGGTTTTCCTGCAATCAGACACTCAGACTGCAAGGGAAGGCATGTCTAACATCAAATAACTCCTCTCTTGGGTCTTTGAGTGACAACAGGAGAAGTGACAGATTTACTGCCTGTTTACCCTTCTCCCGCTGCTCTGCAAGAGGGGCACTGCCAGGGTCTCTCAAGTTTCTTCACCATTTCCCTGCTCTTCTCAATTCTCCCTCACAACTATGGGAAGTTCAGAAAACGACAAGACTAAATGAAACCCACGTGGGAACCAAGGTTATTCACCCACACATGCTAAGCCTCCTGCTCTGTGAGGAGGACCAAAAAGGTATACAGGCACTGAAATATCCACAGTGACTACCCATTTGCCATAAAGCCTGCAGCCAACTCTTTGTGCCGCTGAACCAGCTGTCTGGTTCACAGTCTCCCTTGGGAGTTAGCTTTCCAAAAAAATGCTTGTGAGCAAGGGCTGTCTTGTAATTCAAGAGAAAGCAACTATTATAGCTGAATCAGAATCATTTAGGTTGGAAAAGACCTTTAAGATCATTGAGTCCAACCGTAAACCTAACACTGCCAAGTCCACCACTAAACCACGTCCCTAAGCATCACTGAAGTACTCTGCAGAGGGGTCTCTGGAAAGCGCCTTACTGGACACGTGCATCTCTTAAGCATTAGCATTGCTGCTAGCACCACAGCAGCTCCAGGGAGAACCAATGAAGTTTTCTATGTATTTATCCAAGTGCTGAGATCCAAAGCAGGGTTTCGTGATGGCTGTTACTGTCAGTGAACCTGGTTCAGGTAAAAGTCGGCATTATGGAAAAACAAAAAAACCATAGGGCTGCTGCCATCTACCCCTAGTAATAACACAGTTCACACCTGCAGAATTCGTTCCTCTTTGTGTAAGCAAGCAACCACAACTGTTTCATGGAAATTAGTGACTCCACACAAGAAAAGACTACACTACTCAGACTGAGATTTCATGGCTGAAGGCAGCAGAAGATGCATATATGGACAAAACTGAAAACCACAGATGGGGCGGCCTGGGTCGGTTCTCCCTCTGGGCACACCCCCAAACTGCAGGCAAGGTGCTCTCCCACCACAGACATTAAATGGATAGTGCAGATGACTGCACAGTCTGGGAGGTGCTTCAGATACAGCGCTGCTTTTAAAGAGGTTGCAGGAGGAGGGGACACCGCAGCCCTACAAAGCTCTGCCTGGGTTGAAAGCTGGAGAAGCACTCAAATGCTACCAGGGGGCTGGCCAGCCACATGCTGACACAGCCTGCTGCCAAAAACTCCTCCGACATAGGAGTGCTGGGGTTTTGTTGTTTGAGAAAATGAGTATTTCAAGAAAACACAGCAGAAAAATGTTTTAAAACACCAAAGCATTTGTTAGACAGCTCACAGGGCTTTTCATTTGCTCAGCAGGGGATTTGTGACCAACAAGAAACATCTGTGGACAGTTTTGATACACATTCCCTTTAGAAGTTTGATAACACCTTTATAGGAGGAGCATAATAGGTCCACTCCCAACCTATGAAGTGGAAATGAACTCTCCACGTGGGTTTTTCGAACACTACTTTGGCCCTTGTACAAACCCACCTCCACCTCCACCTCTCACCTTCCTCTTTTGAAGGGACTTGTCAGGAGTGTCTGTGGTTTTCCTCTCCAAGTCCTGCTTCCTTGCACCGGGGAGTTCCTTGGCCTCTGCTCTCTTCGGGTGACTGCCTTTCCCGGGGGGCTGGGGGACTCTTGACAGGAGAGGGAGATCTATTTTCACCATGAGGGACTGAGGGGCGGGGGAGTCCCTCACTGGTGAGAGCAACTTCTTCTCCCTGATAGGCAAGGGAAGTTTCTCCTTGTGAAAATCCTCTCTGGCCATGACGGCAGGCCTGTGGCCACTAGTCCTGGTGGGGGTTGCGTCCTGGCCTTGAGGAAGGGGACTGAGAGCGAGATGCTCCTGGGCACTGCCAAGCAAAACATCTCTCATGAGCTTGGGGTCCGAGACAGGTTTGGCGTTGGCCTGGTGGGAGCTCTTGTGCTTTCTGTTTTCAGGGGGCTCTTGCAGTGCCGGCTTCAGGTCTTTTCTGTCACTGGATTTTGGCTTCCCTTTCGTTTTGACTTTTGGCTTGTCTCTGGAAGACTGGTCTCTGACCTCAAAAGGACCAGGGTCACTCTCCACCTTCAGGTGTCCCTTGGGCCCCTCGTGCACCGAGGCCTTGCCAGGCCTTTTGATACCCACAGTCTGCCTGGGCGAGGGCTCCTCGGCGCGCACAGGAGACTTCTGGCAGTTGCGTTTGGTCGTAAGATGAGCGTCCTGAGGAGCCCTGGCCGCCCGGCCGGAGCTCTTGTGATGAGGCTCCCGCGGCTCAGTGCGCTGGTGGGAGGAATTGCTGCTGCTGCCCTGCCCCTGTTCCTTGCTCTCCTCGCATCCATCCCCATGGGTGATTTCGCTGAGGCTCTCTGTTGGTGCTGCTGGTGGGTTCACCTTGGTTAGCCAGTTGTCAAGCTGCCACTTATTAGAAGTTGGTGGGTCGGGCTGCAGACAAAAACAGAAAGGAAGGATGCAAGACTGATGCTTTTATGGGCTATTTCCATCCTAGCACAGCTTACCAGAACCCAGTAAAATTTGCCCTTACTGTTAAAAGAGCTTGAAAGTAGAAGACCATGAGACAGTGGGGATGCTCTAGCATGTGCACATCAACGCTTACTTCATAAACACAGACCTTGTTTTTGCACAGGATCAGTCAAATGGGTTGCACAGCACTCCTGGATCTTTGCTAGCCCTACCTGTCACTCAGTAAGAGACCAGCCTACGTGAAAGCTTCATCTTGGTTTGCCACTAACCAACATCATTGCACAATCAGACAACATATTAAAAAAGCAGCAATTGTAAAAACAGATTAGGTGCTGCCCTCGCAACGCTTCTGGAAAGTTATTTGCACACAGCACTGCTTTCAAAATGGACGAGGCATCCATAGCTGTGCCAGCTATCGCATCTCATTGAAGTCTGACAGGTAGGCTGTCAGGCTCCTGTGGTTTAACCAAAAGAAAACCATTTACCAAAAGAAATTGTATGGCTAGCACATCAAGTTCAGCCTCTTCTGAGTCCTCTGCCTACACAACCCAACACTCATTTCCCTCTGGGTCAAGCAAGGCATGAGCAACGACTGAGGTCTGAAGACCTCTGGAGTCACAGTCAGATAACATACTGTGGTTGCTACAAGCCCTAGCCTGACAAATTATGAGAAAGGCAAACCCAACTAACCCTAAAACAGACAACAGAAGCTGCAAATCAGGGGCATGATTCTCTGGGGCCCGTTCTGAAAATACCACGTATGTGTCAGCATCACTCAAATGTGTAGCTCATTATCTGGGCACCATCAGAGCACAGCTACACTCCCGCCCTCACCAATTCTCCCCAGTCACAACTCTCACTTCTGAGAAGAGCCACAACTCTTCCCTGAAAAGAGAAAGCCTAGTACATGAAAGGTTTTCTAAGAATAACAAATCCCTTCTGCCATGATTTTCTTCTCTATGCAGACTCAACTCGCTGTAGAACACGTGGATAAACAAGACGTCTTCAACTGTGTTTGAGTGAGTCAATCTAGAAACCTGGTTTAAAAAACAAGAGTTTGGTTTTACCAGGGGTTTGTAAGTAAAACTAAACTACAAATTCCATTATACTTTTCAGGTAACACAAATATGCTTTATTTTCATTAGAATTTGAACTTATTAGCCACTGAAGAGAATTTTTTTTTTTGTCAAACACTATAAAAACATGGCCAAAAGACTTAGTAAACTTTGGTTTATAATCAGACAGTGGCATACTCTGATCCTTTTCTAGCACTTCTACCATCAGTTATCTTGTTTGTGATCTACACCATCACACGGGTTTTCATTAGGTTTTCCAAACACAAAGGATAGTAAGAGACTTTTTTTTTTTTTTTTTTTTTTTAAAAAAAAAAGGGACTTTTTTCTATTTTTTTTTTTCCAAACACAAAGGAAAATAAAAAGCTTTTTTTTTTTTTTTTTTTTTTAGAAAAAAAAAGGAGCTATTGCCTATAGGCCTTAAAATCTGTGCTTTTGCATGTGAAAAACTGACTACAAACAAACAGGCCACGTGCACTAACTTGCTCCTTGAGCACCATGGATGAACAGTTTGCTGAATAAAAAAGGATAAAATGGTCAACGGCAAATAGCTAGGATTTCACTAGACTGAGAAGGATCTTACAATCTAGTATTTTCAGGACAAACCAGGCAGGATTTGGTAAAAGACGAGAAGTATGACATCTGTTTCCTTCCAAAGACACCCACGTTGCAGAGGGCAAAGTCTGTAACTGAACTGCTGGAGGGTAAAGTGTATTAGACGTGAAATGAAAAGATATGCCTTCTCAAAGCTTGTTTTCTGCACACAAAATTCTCCCTGTTCATGTATTTCTAAGGTAAAAGAAAGGAAAGCTAAGGCTGGGGGAGGCAGGGAGAAATAACAAGGTTTCTGGCCTTTTGAGAGCACCTCAAAACTGTCAGTGGATTGGTTTGCGTCAGCTGTGGCCTGTAGGATATAACCACGCACTTCCCACCGGCCTGAGAATGTTTTGCAAGCTGGAGGAAATGTTTGAAACCATGGGACATGAGCACTTCTGCAGCAGATTTTAAAAAAAATGCATGGTCTCAATTATGAAACTTTAAGGCACCAAGTTCTGTTTGCCTGCTTTTCCCAATAAAAGCCTCAGAAATGCCAGTGCAGCACTGTCCAAGCCAAATTCAACAGCAGCAAGTGTAAGCACATTCCAGCCCTTCCTGCAGGCCTGATCACTTCAGCTGTGATCTGGGAGAAGCTGAATCTGTCACTCACACACAGGAGCTGCAGGGAGGCAGTGGCTCCTCTTAACGTATCAGGGTCTCGCCCTGAAGCAGCCCATAGCCTCAGCACCCAGAAAAGCTGCACGGGGAGAGGTGGGCCCCAAACACCGCAGACAAGCCATGATTCTCATCTGCGCGTTGTGTGTCTTGCCAGTGAAGGCACTAATTCCTCCAGGATTGCTAGACAATGATGCCAAAGGAGAAGGAGGAACACTTCAAGGTTAGGCACGTAAAAGTCTAATTATGCTGTTACTAAGGGTTATTTAATTGACAAGGTCTAGAAGGGAAGCAAAGGGCAAGAGAAGTCTGATGATGCAGCAAAGACGTCAAGGGGACACCCGAACGATGACGGTATTTCAGGTCTCCTGTCCTGATTGCATTCAGACAGCAGAGAGTCTGAGGCAAGAGGCTGTATTAAACAGCCTCTGTGTTTTATTTGCATTCACCTCAGGCGCTGACGCTCTTGGAGGGTCGTTTGCTTCACTGTCACTCGAGTTGCTCTCCGTCTCTGAGTCTGAAGAGCTGTCTGAGTCACTGGTGCTCCCTGACTCCGGGCTGCTGGAATGTGCTGATGCCACACTCTTGGGCTGGGACTGTAGGGCACTGCAAGGCCACCATGAGATAAAATTAGAAAGCAGCATGGGTGAAGGTTACTTACTTATTATATTGACATGGCAGGATTCAAAAATAAAACTGAAACCCCATGTTTTGGCACCGAAAGGAGAGGAGACAAGGCCAAAGGAATACATTGCCATACTCAAAAGATAAAGCACTAGAATAAAAAACCTCTGGAAATAATAAAACCTTCAACTCCAACCCAGTCAGACAAATATGTAAGCAGGACATCACTGCTACAATATGAAGCTGCATTTAGCTAACCAAAGTTTAAAAAACAACCAAAACTGACAAGTGCTTTCCTGAAAGCTCCAACCCTCCACAGAAAAATTTCCAATAAAGATTAACAAGACAGAAACATACATTCCAGGATGGTTTCTCTTTTTTGTATTCTCGCCCTTAAGCTGTCACTTCATCTGTGTTACTTGGTCAAAGTGCTGTAACCATTTCATTAACAGCCATGTCAAGCAGCAGCATTTTTTGCAACACCCTCCCCTACTCCAAAGTGTTTTCCTCCACACTGACAATGGGAGTGGATGGAACTCAGGGAGAGCCATGACTTTTATGCACAGCTTCTTTTTGTTTTGAAATGGGCTTACGAAATCAAAATGTTGATTTTTTTACTTTGAAAACTGTTCCCCATGTCAGCATCAACACATTTGTATGAGTTGGAGGCAAGTTCCTTGCTGATTCAGACTGATACCGTGAGAACACTCTACTTCAAGAGCTTGCAGAGACGCAGATCATGCTAAGAACTGGCGTGCCCTTCTGCAAGCCTGACTTTGTAGACCATTACCCTGTGCTTGAAGAATATAGATATCAAGCCAAAAATGTATGTCAGCGTTCTCCTATAGGAAAAATTCTGGGCTTCTCCGCCTTTCTTCCTCTAATGCAGGCACATGGCTGTTCAGCTTACCTTGAATATTGTTTCTGACTAACAATACATGGCAGGAACTGCTTACAATCAGCTGCCTTATCAGGAGGAGCTGAAACAGCCTCAAGGAGTCTACCTAACCCTTTTCTGTTCTTCACCTGCTTGGCTGTTTTGGGCTTCCTTCTGAACTAAAACTGGACTCACACCTCACTCATCACTACTACAACTGACAATCCCATTAGCTCCAGTGTGATCTACATATACACTGGTGGAGGGGAAGAGAAGAACAGGGGACAGCTGGGGAAATACAATTCTGGTTCATAGCCAAAATCCAGCATGCCTGGATTATTCCTTTCTAATTGGAGCTTTCCATAAAACCACATACAACTAAAGCCAATTTTCAACAGCAGCTACAGGCAGCTAGAAACCAAAGCCTGTATCTAGAAGAGAAACCAGGAACCCTTACCCATCTACCCCATATATAAAAAGTAGTTTTGTTTGTCCTTATTTGGTCTAGCTAGTAGTTTGGGAACAAACCTGTACCTTGGAGGAGCAAGTGAAGAAGGTGGCTTTTCAACAACCTGTTTTGTTCACAAAAACAAAGAGGAGAGGGGGAGGAAAGGTTAGCTTAAGGAACTCAGAACAATGCAACAAGTCGTGATGATTTAAAGGGATGTCTGTGTGCCTAGTATATAAAACATCTAAAACTGACTTGGTCGTCACCACTCTCTTCACTATCACTGAGCTGCAGGTCGTCCTGGAGCATTCTGAAAGACAACCAGAAGATAAATATCAGCCAAGGCAAACACATTTTCAAGCAGCAGACACTGAAAAAGACTTGGTTTGCGCTTGCCAAAACAAACCAACCTCCCACCTCCTTTTTCAACATTCGGCATGCTCAATCTGCTAAACTCTGTCATTACCTGAATGAATGATAAAATGATAACACAGAACCTAGGCATTTTACTGTGCTTTCCAGCTGATCTCGGGACATTTTGCAACGGAGGTCAGTATCATTGGCTGCCATCTACAGACAACAAAGTTATGTGAGGGGAATGCTCCTCAACAAAGGTTCCTAGCATGCTAACACAGCCAACAAAGGTTACCTAGCACACTAGCACAGCAGGGCGGGCTGGAAGAAGTCCGATCCTTGTATAGCAAGAGACTAGCACGCTATTAGCCTGCACTGGCTCCCCAAGGGCCAGGAAGCATCGTCTTTGCACCAGAAGCTGTGCATGTTCACACTCTGCTCTCGGGGGCTGAGAATATTTCTTCTGTCACAGGGGTTCTCTTTCTGCTGCTGAAGTCTCCTATTGCACATACGTACGTAAATGCCAAGGTCAAGCCTACCTCCTATTTCTTCTCCACACAATGAACTTCATGCTCCTGCACATCTCAGCGGTAACCATAACATCGAGCAGTTCAGATACTCAAAGCAGTTTACAAGCGGGGAGGCACAAACTCTGTTTTACTATTGCTAGAGAGCAGGCTGCCTGCAAATGTTTCCAAAAGCATGATTTAGTCCTCTACCTGCAGATGGTAACTACTGCTTGCAATTTCAATGCATTACCAAGGTCCTCAAAAGGCTGGACGGGAAGGATTTGTGGGGAGGGACCCAAAGTTGTCCCAAATTGTTATCCTTTCTTTGGCAATCATGCAGGCATCCCAAAAGGAGTTGGAAAACAGACAGGCAATACTCTTGCTATTCAAAAGTATAGCGATTCAAGTCTTGAAACTAGCTGGAGACCGACTCCTCAACCCAGAGAATTACACAAGTGTCATTCCAAAAAATGGGATAAAAAGCTAGGGAACTGAGACAGGGATTGTAATCAATCAGGACAAAACTGTTTATTTTAACCTCATTTCAAACTAAGGACTCTCTATAAGAAATTTTTCTCATGCCCAAATAAGAAAAATACACCTACAACCCCTCATGACAACATATTTTATAGCAAGAAAACAAATATGAAAGATCCTGAGTGAACCACATCACCTTGGAAAAGTGGGGAGAGAGTTAGTGTTCCTGCCGCTTGTTAGGAAAAGGAAAACTACACAAACCTTCACATTCTTTCAAGCCTTCATGTCAAATTACGAACAAAGCAAAAAAGATATATGGCTCTGTGGGTCACCTTTAACAACCCTGAGCAGTTTGCTTTCATGATTCCATGACAAAAGAGGAGTAAAAACCTTGATAAAAAAATTATTCCTTTATTTAATTTAAACACTATCCCCATTGACTAATTATTTTACACTCATACCAAAGCAGTTGACATGCACGGAGATACTTTTATGGAAATAGGACCATGTTTACTGCCGAAGCTGGCCACGGTGAACAATTCCACAAACCAGAAGTGACGAATCTGCTCTTGTGCACAGAGCAGGACAGCATGCAGAAACGCCAAAGGTCTCCTGTGGTCAAATTACGAACAAAGCAAAAAAGATATATGGCTCTGTGGGTCACCTTTAACAACCCTGAGCAGTTTGCTTTCATGATTCCATGACAAAAGAGGAGTAAAAACCTTGATAAAAAAATTATTCCTTTATTTAATTTAAACACTATCCCCACTAACTAGACTAATTATTTTACACTCATACCAAAGCAGTTGACATGCACGGAGATACTTTTATGGAAATAGGACCATGTTTACTGCCGAAGCTGGCCACGGTGAACAATTCCACAAACCAGAAGTGACGAATCTGCTCTTGTGCACAGAGCAGGACAGCATGCAGAAACGCCAAAGGTCTCCTGTGTCTACCCGTACAGAGCCAATCCCTCCTGCACAGGTGACGCCTCCTGCAAAGGTGCTGACCCCACGGTCCCTAAGTACCTCTCACTGATGCAGAAGAGGCTCTCAGTGCCACAAGGGCTCTGTCTGGTTACGCTCACGAAGACCTTCGTGCTTTCTTTGCTCAGGCATTTTGACTTTGCCATTCCCCTGTGACTATTCTCCTCCATCTCCCAGCCTCCACCGCCTTATTTCCTCACACACCTTCTTGGTGGAAATCACCTCTTGCCTCTTCTTTTAGAGTAAACATTGAAGGGAAGCACTATGAGACACCACCTTGGAAAACGAGGCCCCTGAATTTCCTACAGAAGGCAAACGGCACACAGTCTGCAGCAATTCTGCACGCGCCAGCTTCGCATGTGGGCTAGAGCCGAAGCTCGCTGCCAGTCCGCTGAGACACACACAAAAAAAAAAAAAAAAAAAAAAAAAAGCTACCAACCCCCCAGCCACACTCGACACTTCTGGGCAGTTTGGCCAAACATCTACTGGCATCTCAATGAATTCTTCTTATTTTTTTCCCAACCTGTTAGGGCAAGTACTCCTTCAAAGGTTTCTTCAGGGATGCTAGAAGTTCTGAAAGCATTTTCATTTTTTTGTTTTGTTTTGCTTTGAGAATTGTGGACTACAGATACATTTCCTTTAGAAATAAGAGGATAATGCGAGGAAACACTACCTAGATCTTCTTTTAAATCTGATTTAACTGTTTGTAATAAAAAGGACTGCCTTTTTCACCTGAGCTGCTGGTAAATAAAATGCATCAGCATAAAAGAACATTGCAACTACTCAAGTTCAATTTAGGATCAAGGAAGAATACTAAAACTTTAAATGAGTCATACTGCTGCAAGGACAGACAAAGCCAGTTTCCCCAAAACAAGGTTTCAACAAATTGTTAAATAGCCTAGTTAAAGAAAATAAATCTGCTTTAGTAATTTTAATGTTTTAATTAGTCCAGGAGTTAACAGATGCCAAGTTTCCATTTGCAGGACCTGTTCATTTGCAGCTTATATACACACCATCAATCTCCCTGTAAAGCTATTCAAAAAGAGCTCTTTTAGCGAGAGAAGCAGCACTAAAATTAATATCGCTTGCCAAACAACCCCACTGAAAACACAGGCCGGTCCCTCTCTGCCAGACGGGATAAAGATGCATCACCAAGAATGAGTTTGGCATCTCCCCTTTTAAAAGAATGGCTACTTCCATTCCAGTGCAGCCAGGTGCTAACTTCGGGGCTGTATTCGAGAATGAAAGCCATCTGGGAAACCCTTGCAAGCTCTGTAAAGCTGAATGCTTAATTTGGGCACACAGATGCATGGGGATTTCAACCTCTAATTAACCAGCACAAACGCTGTTTGTTTTCAGCCAGCTACACTTTGTAACGCGAGCTACTCTAGGCAGCTGAATTTTCAGACAGTCACATGCACTTTGAACAGCAAAGAAAGCAAGCCCTGTTGTGCAAATGAAAACAAAAACAAAACAAAAAAGACGGGATGCATCAGTTCAAGGGAAAGACATAGAGGAAGTCCTTGGGCAAATCTCGCTTGACTCCATTGCGGACATAAACCCAGGCCACCCTGTTCCTCCGACTTCAACTGCCTTTGTCAATCGTGGGTACGCATCTCCCTGGTAGATGAGCGCCGGCTCTGAAGTGCCTGCATGGACGCTGAGCAGAGAGGGGATGTTGGCTAAGGACAGAGCTATGTACCATGCCAAATTTACAATTCTGGACCTTTGGGCTAAAAAAGGAGTATTTTCAGATTCTTGCCTACAGTAGAAGTCTCTTCTCTCTCTGCCACCTGGACAACTGACTAAAGTGCTAGCGGGATTTTTATAAGAAGCTGAGAAGAGTTGAAATAAAGATGATGGTTGTAGGGTAGCTGAGGAGGAAGGCAGAGCCCAGAGCAGTTGAAGCTAGTATTTTTAATAGTGCAATGCAAAGTTCCAGAAATTATTCAGGAGGAACGAGCTGGGGTGGAAGAAGGAGGAGCAAAATAAAGAATGGATTAAGGGAGTAGCTGACGGCTCAGCAAGACGCTATCCCACATTCCCGGCCAGCGAGGGCTCCTCTGCGTGATGCTGGAACAGTATGAGAAGGGTTGTTTTACAGATCTTACAGAGCTTGAGTGCAAAATTCTACCATCTCAACCAAGATGGAGAGATGCTCTTTCTCTTATTTGTGACTAGGCCAGTTTTGTTTTTTTTTAATTAAATGTTCATGATAAGAAAAGGAAAACAGGTGGAGTAAGCTTTGTAGTCTGTAGTTTGCAGCCTTCCATGGAACAAAATATCATGGAGTAACTTGAGATCTTTATATATCACATCAACTGATAGGCATTTAATGCTTCAGCAATTGCTGTGCACACAGACCCCTTAGCCTTCCAGACATGGAAAGATTTCTATTTGTTACTTGGGGCTCAGAACCTATCAATGCTGCCATCTGGCCAGGTTAATCCTGAAACACCAACGTCAGCCCACACAAAACTACTTTCAAGCAATTTCTGTAATTAACCTAATTAATAGATAACCACTTTCACCTACAAGGACAGTACCAAGTTATTGTATCCACCAATTTAAAATTTACTATTGGAGCGATTCATTTACTAGTTGGCACTCCTTCCTAGCCTTGTAAAACTTTTGTAGTGATAATGCATAAACATCTTACACTGAGACTCAAATTCTAAGAAGCTTTCTTCTGAGAGAAAACATAACATGATAGGGAAAAGAAGAAATATATAAAGAAAAGTAGAAATATATAAATACTATTAAAAAGAGCTATAGAAATTTCATCTTCACCCCACTTTGCAACTACCTAACATTATTAGAATATAAATTGAGGTCTTCAGAAAGTCCACATGAAAGTTTGTTTCTTTGTTTGTTTGTTTTAAATAAAAATAAAATTAAGACACACTTTTTATAAAAGCCTTTCCTTGGGCAATTGCAGAAAGTTATACCATACGATTGCCTTAAAATTTCACCTCTAGTTTTCACAGTTTTTGTAGCTGTCGCTTTACTAGCCCTCACAGGCTTCAATACAATATGCAGAATAGATCAGATTCAGTTGGTATCCCTTATAATTTATGTCAGTTGAATGCATTATTAGTAGTTTGAAAAGAACTGGGTGTGACAAGATGTTAAGCAGCCACAGATTAAAAGCACAAAAAATCTTCAGTCTGGTACATTAATAGTTGGGGTTTTTTTTCTTCAGTTTTGTTTTGTTTTTAACACAGTCATCATAATCATGACACAGTAATGTTTCTTTTGGTGAAAATTCCCTGCATTGAAATTTTCTGAGAAAAATCAGACTGATAAAAACCTTAATCTGTGGAATGATCAAGTAAACCAAATTTTAATTCATTCCAGGTTCTTTTAAGTAACTGCACAGTAGAGATGGGAACTGAGTCTGGTTACTTACGATGTTCTTGGTTGAGAACTAGGCAACGTTTTTGAAGGTGCGTCATACTGTTCTGTAAATCAAAAATGAATCAGTTGGTTTTATTTGCCTCACTTGTAGCGTATTTTACCCTATGGTCTCTGAGCATCAGATTAGAAAGTCACTTTCTTCCAGGACATAATTGTTTGCCATTGAGATTATTCATCACTCCAAATGGGGTTTCCTAATGAAATAGTGTTTGTTCTCTGCTGAACTGTTGCCTTAATTTCTAGGTAATGAATGTATACAATCTCTTACGCATTTTCTAAATTCATCGCTGTTCAACAAAGCACAGGAAATCATGCTCCTTAATCAATGTAAACATGTGATGTTCTCCTCAACATATAACACACAAAACTATCTGTCAATACACATATAACGGTGTGTTTTCTTTGGATTTCTACTTACTCTGATTCTGTGCTACAGATCCAACATGCTGCGATTCCTAGAAAGAAAGGACAAAGTGCAAATTGAGAATAAAGTAAATCAGCTCTCTCTTAATAGAGCATATCGATGATTTATTTTCCGTGCTTTACTTACTGTAATAAATGCTTTGACTGACTTGTCAAAGTATGACTTTGAAGTGTCCAGTAGTCTAAGCTGGCCTGATGTAGGTTAGCATAGACAGAAATGGTACATGCTGCTGCCACTAAAAATGTGTTGCTTGCGCATTAGTGGTATGTGCATTTTTGAAGAAATATAAAAAAAACAAACAAACATAAGAGCTGCCAAACACTTCTGTCTAACACAGTCAGCAAATATTTTTGCTGACAATAAAGATAAAATGGTTTTTGTGCTGCAACAGAGATGAGATGCTTAAAATGTTTCTGAAAAGCAGTCACATTTGAAGCCCACAATTATAAAAAAATGTGTAAGTCACTGAAACATTATTCATTCACCCCCCCTCTGGCTCAGACATCTTACAACTCTGAAAATACAAAGCTTGCTTAAAAAACAAAAAAAGAGGAAAGATAATTACACTACTATATAGCCCACTCAAAAACAATTACTCAGAAGCACAATCTGATCTAATTCTCAGTAAAACGATGTGTTGCAAGCAGCCGTTATACAACTCGAGATCCATTGTGCTTTAATTTATCTGACTTCTTCTAAAGATAATCTCTCCTAACAGCCTTTAGAAAGGAGGACAAAATCAGATGAAAACACATGCAAGAGCCGGAAAGCTCTTTTCTAATTTATCAAAAGCCCTGGCAAAAAGAGGGTGTTTTACCTTTGTTGGGAACGGAAATTTGGAAGGCTCTGCCGTACTAGGCGTATGAATAGCTGTCAGGGGAGGTGGCCATGAGTGGGTCATTTCCTGGAAAGAGATTGAGAGAAGCAGCTTACAGTATTTTTGCTGATACACGCAGGTGAAGTTTTACGCTTAAGAGATTCGTACGGATCTACCAAAAAAGTCCTTGTCGACCCGATCATAAACCCAAGAGACGGTACCGCAACGAGAAGCCCTTCTTTGAGCGCAGCAGCCAGACCATGGTGAGGACTTGGTCCTTTTCTGCAAGCATACTTGCATTGCCCAAGTAACAGCAATCTCAGTGAAGCTTGTGGAGAGTTAAGTACTTACTGTGTTTGCAGGATTAGGCCTCAGCCTTACAGCTATCACAGTTAATAAAAGGAAAAGTAAATAAAACCCGTATATGAGTAGTTCTAGGGCTTTTCAAAGCACAGGACTTGCCTATTACGGAAATTCTTATATCCTCTTACAGCAACGACACTCCGAAAGGCTTTTCATAACTCGAGGAGGTCAGCCAGAGAGCTCTGACTACCAGCTGCTCCCCATGCTATTTTGTCTGAAACACTGGCTTTTGCTCTGACCGACCAAGATGCCTTTGACACAGAGCTCCGGGACGTGGTTTCAAACCAAAGAAAAAGACTGTCCCATGTGCTATGTCTTTAGGAATCCTTCTGCCCTGTTCCCCTGCCTTTACTCTCACCCATCATCATTGCCAGGTACCAGCTTCTTGGGCTCAGCCATGGTCCAGGTGAAAGCAGAGCACAAACACCACAGCTATGGGATAGGGCTCGGCAGGCGAGATCAACCTCCAGCCTGCCTCTTCTGGCACCACAGCTGGGCCCAGACAAGTGTACTAAAGTCTTGGCTTGCACTGCAATGAATACATGTGAAAAGCCTAGCACAGACAAGGATCTTTGTCTTGAACATATGCTAAAATACTTCAATGGGGGTTAATCTTGACGAGGCCTTTGGGGAGGTTGGGGCTCAGAAATTCAGAAATACCTTGTTGAAATTACACAAGACAGACTTTGCTTGGCTCCTGATCCTCAAGTTTTAAATCCTGAAGAGCATAATAGTCACTCCAAGAAGTAAATGAATTCATATGGCCTGCCACCCTCACTGCCTTTCCAGGAATAGTTCTCTCAGGATTTCCCCCCCAGCCCAACATCACCTCTGTACTCAAGGTGTGCACCCACCATCCCCATCCAGAGTGGCTGTCATCACAGCTGCTCCCTGCCAGCTTCCTGCAGAAAGCAGCATGCAGAGTAACACAATACTGGCACTTTGCTCAGCTCAGAAAGTTAGGAATTACGTTCATGCTGAACACATCTCATGACAAGCATGCACCACATGCAGTTTCCTCAGGGGCTTAAAAGAAATGAATGAGGAACGTGTCAGTGCAAAGTACATTTTTGCACTTTTGGCACCAAATAGACCGAAGTGTGAAAATCTCTACTAGTGTCGTAATTTACAAGTGCCATTTTTTCATCAAGGCACAAATATGAAAATTCAGAAGCGTCCCTTATCTGTTAGGAAACTATCGTTATCCATTAATAACACGAAATGCAAAGATTTACAGGGAACGAAACCACATTGCTACCTTTGGCTGTGTAAGCAGGGATCAGAGCAATCTACAGGGGTTTCGGTGCAAGAACTAGAAGCAGCCTACAACTAACCAAGGTAACTATTTGATCGCACTGTTACCACCCTTGCAGCCTTCTTTCTCCCTCCCACTGTTCAGTTCATTGCTCACTTCACTCACGAGCTGTGCAACCTTTCCATAGATGATAAACTCCTCAATATACTGCACTACACCTCTTCATGTATTTGTACATGCTTCCATGTGGTTGCTATAAAAATAGCCTTATGCACTACTAACAGGCAAGAAAAGAGGATGTCTCGTGAAACACAGAAGGATGCAGTACTTCCAGGCGGAGTACTCGTGCTGCAACACCAACCAGCACACAGCAGCTAGTGAGCACCTCTGCGCAACTACCTTTCAGCTAAAACGCTGCCCCAACAACAGCTTCTTGAGAGCAATAAAGGCATCAGGATTTTGCAACCTGAAGCAACAGTGAGGGAAGTGACTAGCAGAAACCAAACACCTCTGTTAGGACTTCAGTGTCTCAGAATAATATTTGACATCAAGGAACTGTCTTCTCAGTATCAGCATGACCAGCTTGCAGATCACAGTGCCTTTTACATCATGCACAGTGAATGAGTGACACGTGCTCAGACCCAGCTACCGGGAGATCGTGCACTGCTCACAGAGCCAGCCCTGACACAAGGTTACAGGGACAGTTTTGCATTAGAGCTGGCTTAGCTTTGCACAAACCGACTAGAATTACAGTGAAGAAGCAGCAGGCCAGCAGCGGTGCCGCGTGCAGGTGGGTGGGAAGGATGCAGGTGCACGCTCCCGTTCAGGGCCACGCTGCTGAGGCTGGCAGCACGGACAGGAGGCAGCACGTCCAGTGCCTTTGGAGGAAGTGCGCTCAGTGGTGGCAACCCCCTGACTTGACGAAGGAGCAGCTCTGGCTGTTTCAGATGACTTGTCAGTCTTGCTCGTGGACTGCACCAGACTATATTATACTTATACACTGATAGAAAGACCGGTCTTACAACTCCAGCTGTATCCGAAGCTAACTTTTATCTTTACTTCTCCACAGTGTACCCCAAACCACACTTTTAGTGATTGCAACATCCCCTGACAGAACAGAAACAGAGCGATATTTTTTCCCCACACACTAATGCATGCAAAATACAAGCAAACACAGATATCTATTATTTAAGAGCACCTACCTTCAAAATTTCTTCAATGGAGTGGACATCACTGGGGAAGGTTTGCTAAAATAAAAAAGAGGAAAGCAGCATGAGTTTGTTTTGTTTTTACTAACTGACATGAGACAAACAGATGCACCCATCAAACATTTGCTTACCAATGGTTCTATACATTTGATGGAAGTCCATTAATAACAAAATGCTAATAAGAAATAAAAGCCCCATCAGAAGGGCAGTTAATAATGCACTTCTACAAAGCCTGTTGTTTTCAAGTCTTTAGTAGAAGATATATTCTAAGAAAGATGAGAAACAAGGGAAGTGTCTCCAAACAGCATCTCTTGAGGAAATCACATGAAGAGAAACAGAGATCATTAAACAATGGTACTCGTTCAGCTGACAGGATTCCTCTTGTTTTATGACTTGCAGTCTTCTATGCACCCATGTGGACTCAGCAGAGAAAGAAGCCAGTATAAAGCCCTAAGCTTGGAGAAGGCAAAGTAGAGGTGGTTTTAACTGGAGGAATCATGCACCAGGCACTTGAATGTCAGCTCTTGAACTCATGGGAACATCAACTGCCATTAAAAAATAGAAAAGCAATATAATTGTAACTTGTGCAGTTCAGAATAAAACCTCGAACATACCGCCAGGCAGGAGCAACATGATGATTTCTAGAAAAGCCTGCAGACGACCTGGATCTGGATCAAGGGACTGCCCTTGTACCTCCCCCACCTGTTTTGCTGGAGCCCAGGCAGTGACCACCACATGCCCTCCTGGCTGGGTCCAGGGCTCCTCAAGGCAAGCGTGGTGAGGACCTCTGACTGGGGCCAGCTCCCCGGTGGTGCCCTGGCACGCCACCAACACCACCTGAAGGGGATCAGGAAACAGCCGCGGCAGTGCCTGCAGCTGCCTTCAACCAAGCTCACGAGCCCAGGCGTGACGAAGCTCTGGGGAAGAGTACAAAGCAAAAGCAATGCTAATATTTGCCAGTTATATAATAAACAGCAGACATGGCAGCTTGTGCAAACACCTAAATCTGCTTTTAATGTATCAGCAAAACCACTTAGCAGCTCCTGGCAGAACACCCCTCTGCACACACGCGACACCACACATCGGCAGCGTGGGCAAGGCGGGGGCTGGGACAAGCGCAGAGAACACCTCCTGTTCCCGAGGCACGTGGGGACGCGGGTGACCGCACAGCCAGGGCGAGCGGCGATGCCCCCTGAGAGAGCCCACCTGCCCCATGCCCAGGCTGTGCGCGGCGGGAGAGGATACAGCAGCAGTGCCCTCTGTCCAGCACCACCAGCAGCACCAGGTGCTGGGGATGCTCTGCAGCAGGACCCGCGCTGCTTCCACACACTGACCTGCCACCTGGCCATGGGGAACATCACTTCGCTTCGACAGATCGGCTTCTCATCTACTAGCAAGGCATGTGTTTTGAAAGTACCTGTCTTTACATGTCTTTTCCCAACTGATATCATTAAAGGAAACTGAAATGAAAAACAACCAAAGAGCTGAGCAGTTATAAGGAGCAAAGTGCATCCAAGACCAGTTTCTTGCCTATAAACAAGAGGTTCAATGGAAACATCCAGCTATCGGTGTAATTGCTGAAAGGGAAAGGCCAGGAAGATGTTCCTCGTGTTAAAGGAAGAGGGCAGTGAACTATAGTGCCTGATCAGAAGGATCTTCTCCAGGACGAGGTAAACAGCAAAGCATGCAAACACTTTATTAAAGTCAAAAAGTGCCATCCTTAGCACTCGCACAGAAAACTCACGCATCTGTTTCCCATATGCTGCACTATTTACATTGGAGGGAGAAGAGGAGATGAGGAATCTCTTTTCACTGCAACCTCATTTGTCGGTGTCTACATAAAGCTCTCGTCAAGGCAGGGCTCATTTGACTTTTCTTCAGAAAATCACGCACAGATAGCTGCTTCTGACCTTACTCACCCGGAGACAAAGGGAAGCTGAGGCATGGCCAGATGAGTCACGCGAATGAAGCAAGGGGCTGGGACCTAGCAAGGCTTGCAGAAGCATCCCACAGCAGGCAGGAGGATGGGAGAGGGAGAGCAAACAGCAGGCGACTTCTACCACGTGGCAAGAGATCGGGATGCTTCATAACTCACAGTGCCAAAAAGGGATCCCTCTTTTCCTATTTTTCTTCCCAGCAAGCTTAACCTGGTAGCTCAACCACTTAATTTACTTCTTAATTTAATAAGTGGTGGACAGCAGACTCAGGAACTTGCATCTTGCTGTACAGAAAAGCAGCGTTCAACTAGCAGATTGCTTCAAAAAGCTCCTGAGATACCCCATGAGAGCACCACAGTAAAAACCCTTCCCACAAAACAGATAAGGAATCAAGATCCTGCCTGGACAAAGTATTCAAAAACTCTCTCTACAATGGATTGATTGCAACAAATCAAAATCAGTTTGCTTCTCCCATTCCAGAAACTTAAGTTTTATGAGGTGATAACTGATGACAAAAGTGGAATTCAATTAACCTGAGAATCAGAGAATATCTGCAAGGTCCAGTTTGGACCTCTCTTATCCCTGCCAAACAACTCACACCCCTTCTTGAAGGTCTTTCAGATAAGCCTGAAGAGGCTTTCAAATTGATACAGGTTTACGTACAATGAGTATTTATAGCGCAATTGTCAGGAGGATTTATTGTAACCCCAAAGGGCACTGTTCAGTGACTGTCTGCTGTTCTTCACAGGCCCGGTGGCTTAGCACAAACCCCTTTCTTCTTCACGGCACAAAATTTAAAGGAAAGGAAACACATGGTACCGAACAAGTACTGCAGAAGTCTGCATCGACAGCAGGGGGTGTTGTTGATGTTTTTTTGTTTGTTTTTTTTTTTTTTAAAGACACAAGGTTTAAGTACATGCCCCCAAAATACATGCAGCTCTGGAGATACAGAACATAAAGTACCGGGGATGCTCAGGATTGCTTTTGTCTTTGGCCAGCAGTTTACTCCGAGCTGCTAAGTTAGGACATGCTAGGAAGCCCATGCCCCTGCTGGAGACTCTCCCTGAAGAGCATGGGTTTTCAGGCATCTTTAATCTCTGTTCTGCTATCCTGCTGCACCCTAAGGCTGAAAAACCGAACAACACTTTCACCAGGAGTAAAATGTGCAACGGGCAAACAAAACCGCTGCCCACAAATGGACTTGCAACACCCGTATCAAATACATGGGGAAACGTTTGCTCTAGAGATTAAAATCACAGACTGTTCAGGACATGCACAGAAAATTTGTTTTCAGTGCCAAAACCACAACAAAACTGGTCAGAGCCATTGACTGCACTGGGGAACCCTCCTGTCTCTCAGGCAGGACTGCGACTGTCATTTCTACAGCCTGTGCCCCAGACCCAGTGGCCCTGGCGAGAGCGGGCACGCACCCTTTCGCTCCGTCTCAGCTGCAGTGTCTGAGGAATCCCCATTTTTTACAAAGCTATGCATCCAGTGCCTGAAGGAGCTGGGCTTTTCTGCATGCTGAGTAATTTTTTGCCCTTTTTTTTTTTTCTTCAAGTCACATCTCGGCTGTGTTTCAGCCTGTAAACTACCATTAAACCACAATTACCACCCAGTCCTTGCCAGTTTTGAGAAGAGTTTAGGGAAAAGGAGAAATACAATGCTGCTCAAAGAAGAGTTAAAAAGCCCTAAAGCCAAAGAAATCACTGAGAAGAGCTCCACGGAGGACTGTGGGTGTAGAAGATCAAATATTACATGTTGTTGTCTACCCCTGCTAGCAGTTTTACAGCCTTTACAGGGAACACTGTAACATACTCCCCACAGACAACTCGATCTAAGCCCTGTGCATATTTGCTGGCTGACACTGACATCTGCACAATCTCCAGCTAGGATTTCCTCATGCCACATTCATACTCACTGTCAGTTTGGGAATGACACGGACGCCTCTGAGTGTTGCTCACAAAACGTTTTGATGGCCGAGGTCAAGCGCAAAAACAGGACATCCAGAACCATTGGGGTGCTGGGGTTTTGTTTTGGTTTTGCTTTTTAATGCCAACATTCCCATCCAAACCAATGCTGCGCTTCAGTTAACAGCCACCCCCATCAGCAATAATACTAATTTATGTTCCAAAAAGTCTGGTTTTGCTCAAGCAAAAGCCCACCTCCCAGTGATCTCTCAGCCTCCAAAAACATCTGCAGGGCAGCATGCTTCTCCATTTACCATCTCCCCCAGCAGAAGGCACCGCCAGAGCCAGATGTGCACGTCCAGCTGCAGGCAGGTACTCACATCTGACCCAAGACCCCAGCCCAGTTCCTCTGCTGATGCAGGCCCACAGATTCTGGAGAGGTTAAACAAGTGGATGTAACTTGGAAAGAAATCTTGTTCAGAAAGACAGAAAACTACTTTAAGAGAGCAGGCAGAAGAAACTGCCACCTTTGTAACTTGCAGTGCTTATCCACAAAAATCCCAGGAAACAGCCAGACACAGACTCATTAACACGGTTCATGCCTGTTGCCTGACCAATAATTTAAGGGACAAATTTAAAAGTAGACTCATATGATAATATATGATGGGAGCAGAATCTGGACTGACGAATTTCCATAATAAGTTTTGCAAGGCTAATTTAATAGATGACTTCCTTACTTGCAAGCTTAAAAAGCAAAGAGAAAGGTTTAAAAAGGTCATCAAAACAAAATCAAGTATCTCTTTGATGAGGACTCACAGACTTAATTGGCATAACAGACATTTCAGTGTCAAGGATAAGTTTGGTTTTAAGGTTTTTGGAACAAAAAGCTGGATAAACATAAAGCCAAAGCCATTAAATAAATTTTGACTACAGAAAAATGCAGAGACTACCATTAATATGATTTTTAAGCCTCTCTCAGTCACTAAAGAACAAGCAACATGCTATTAAAATGGTGAGACACTGCCACATTCTTTCCTCTTTATAGTTTTTGCAATATATATATTTTTCTAATTCACCAACCTGCACAACTGGCTGATGAAGGCCAAGTAATATTTTGCAAAGACATATCACCTCAAGGTTTACAAAAGACAGTGCTACAAGGCAGTATGTCAGAAAGACTGTTAGGTATAGC